AGACCAATTGGTTGTCGTATATATATGTAAAATTTATGCTCGTCTTACTTTCAAAACCAGCAACTCAGCAAATAATTCGTGGGGCGGTCCCCCTTTCAGACAGCGAAATTTGATGTCCGTCTGGCACACCTTCAAGGTATAGACTACCTACTGCAAAAAAAAGGTCTCTAGGACCATTCCCCTAGTAGTCCGAAACGGCAGAAGTGGGACAAAACGCAAACAATAGCACATTTTTTTAATTCTTAAAAAATACGCTAAAAATACTATAAGAAGCACATGTATATTGGTCTTTTAAAGCACTTGCAACGTTTAAGTTCGAGAACTGGTCGAAATTTGGGTAAGTATTTGAGGCACTTGTCCAAAACATCTCCAATAATACCCAAACACAGAATTGCAGACCTGGCTGAGGAGTAGGGGGGCTAAATCAACCCTTATATTTCTAAGATAGGAATTTTTGTTTCAAAAAATTTTTTGGAGGCATTTCGAAGTTTTTACCCCTTTAAATTTAATATTTAAAGAGCGAAAAAATCAATAACTTCTGATGAAAATTTGAGGACAACTGTAAATATTAAATTTAAAGGTGTAAAAATTTCGAAATTCCCCAAGAGCATTTTTTGAGAAAAAAAATTCCCATCTTTAAAAATATAAGGGTTGGGTAAGGGTAAGAGTACCAGCTCTCCTACTAAAAGGCACTCAACTTCGCGTCGTGCCATTAAACTCGTTGTGCGTGCTTTAAAGACTTGATTTTTGTATATCGAAACGAAACGAAACGTGTCAGTAGAATCTCAATAGAGTACATATCTACAAAAGGAAGTCGAAGAAACAAGATTTAAGTAAAAAAAATTATTACTGCTATTGGCAATGATTATTGACTTAATAACTGCTTTCGTTACCTGAAAACGTTTTAAAGATCTACCTATTGTACCTATACCTATGACGCCTAGGTGTTGAAAAGTTGTTTCTTCGACCACAAGCATGCTATGTTGTCAGTCAGACACATGCAACCAGCAGTAAATTTGCGGAAGAAGTGCTCATACGAAAAAAACACATTAGTGCATTTTCTCACTTTTTTGTTTTATTTCAGTATATCTGAATTGCGACTTTGCCCTTTTTTTCAAAACACCACGGATATCTTATCTTCAGGAATAAAATATGTACTTTGATTGCCGATATTGTTGCAAAAATGAATCAATTTTCTTGCTTTTGTTTTTCAGCGTATATTTTGGAGGAACAACTTGTTTCCTCATCGTATCAGATGCTAATTCTGAAGACACCAGAATTAACGTTTTAATTTCCTCATGTTATACATTGGAATTACTTGTAGCTACTGTCTGACAATGTTATTTCTTTCAATTTAATTTTTTTTTGGGCAATCTTGCTTTTCTCTTTCATTCAATTTCCTTTAACTAAATTTTTTTCTCTGTCTTATTTATTATTTATTTTATTGTTCCGTTAACGAGCCACTCTGAATACTGAATATTGAGACATTGCTACGTGAAAATTAACCACTTGTCAGCCACCCCTCCTCACAACAACCCTCATGCCAAATATTTTACATGGAAATCGAGATAATAGTAATTTCTTTTTGGTCATCACGTGGTCGACCTGTTTTTCCCTTATTTTCTAGGGTTCTGCAATCAAATTTTCAACGTATTGTCTCCCACATCCGGAGCCATGGGCTGTAAAAATCAAATGAGGGAATAAACTGACAATTAATGTTTCTGTTTCTGTATCCGTTTATCACCTTAACACTTCTGCGAGTTTTATTAGGATCAAAATAAGCTCTCGCATTGTGCCATAATTTTTTTGTATACACATAAATGTCACAATTCTTCTCTGTCACGTTTTATCTACTTTTAATTGCTCAAGGCGATGAAATAGTTTCCAGAAACTTTGTTAAAAAATCTCAAGTTAATGGCGTATACATAAAGATTTCAGTTCGAATGTATGTTCAAAAGGAAATGGAGCATTATCGAATGCAAAAAGTTGGCATTTACTTCAATGAATACCCAACTGGCTGTCACAACAAAATATAACGTTCCCATTTAAACCTCCACCTTCAATTTGACGAAGTTTTCACTGCGTCTCAAAGTGAAATCCAGAAATGCGTGTGCACAGTTACACGGATTTATATCCGTCAAAAACCGGCAAAAACTCATTAAAGAAACGTACTAATTACACCGTCCCAAGCGCAAAATTACAAAAGTAGGCAGTAAGATTAATTCGAACTGCCATGTGCGTTGAATCCGTTTCAAGTACTCCACAATTTGTAACGGAGGGCAGAGTGGATCAAACATTTACTGTTCGTAGTTCGATGGCTAAATTAATTACAGCATCCGTCGATCTTTCTTAATTATACAAAGCGAAGCTTGCCGCACGGCACTAATTAGCAAATTGTCTATTTTTAGCAAGAAAAAAATGAACGCCGAAGATTTTAATTTACTTTATGGCCATTAAAAGGAATAAAAAATGGATTATAAGATAACGATAATTCCCAAGCCCCATTCGTCTCTGGTTTCCTCATTAAAATGTAACGAGCCGTTCAGATGTTACGCTTATATAAAAACTCATTAACGTTCATGTATAAGTAAACTTAAGTTTTAGTTCGTAACGTAAACAAAGTCGGGTTTATTATTTTCTTAACTGCTTTGGGATGATGTGACCAAAACCGCCGACATGATGAGGTCGCCGACGTGTCGGTTTTGTGGCGAAAAGCAATAATTTTTTTAAGTGTTCGGTATAATCTTATTTAAAACAGTAAAAATATACAGAACTTTTTTTATTAACGAAAGATAAGTGAATTTTTGTGTTCTATGTATCTACTTAATCCAATTACGCGTCTCAAAGTTGGTCCACTTCATTAGCTCTCTCCATTCTCCAAGCATTGCATTTTATTTGTATCTTTGTAATGATGTACACCACGATGTTGCAGTCATTCTCATCATTGGATTAATACAATTTTAAGACGAACAGGATTTGCAAAATATCATTTCCTATTTCTGTAAGTTTGGACGGTTAAATTAAATGTTAAACTGGGCAAAATTAAACTCCTTTTTCTCTTCTAAGAACGGCACTTCAAAACAGACCGCTACTCAGTTTCAACAAATTTTATACAAAAAAAACTGCTTCTACGGACAGTAGTTCGGCCTCGGTAACCAACAAAAAGCGTATTCTTTCCTCGTCTTCCCGTATTTAAATGGAAATCTCACTTAAATTTATTAAAATTTTATCAACCAATAAGAGCTGCATAGAAAGGACAATAACCAATACAACGAAACTCAAATCGTCATATCCTTATGTAAATCAATACTTCTACCTAAGAATACAATTTTTTTAATGGTTAAAATTGTCACGTGATCTCAAACAATTGCCTTTATCTTTCTTAAATAAACGAAAAGCTTAATAAATTACATCGAAACTGTCACATTTGCATTAATGAACACCTTAATAACAAATAAAATTGAGGACGAAATCTAACAGTTCCAAGAAATCATTTGTAAAGAAAATAAACAGATAAGACCTTGACTACACACTCGATTCGCAAAATTGTTTTGTGTTAAAACGTAAAAAAATTTAATGAACATAATAAAACAATTAGACATCAAAATTCATTCCAAATGTCTCAACACAAACTACAACGTCCCAACTGACATTGTTTAAGGTCCAACAACAACCTTCTTCAAAGAATCTTATGGATTAAAAAAAGTCGATATTATTGGACTACTTGTTGGTGCTCGCGGAACAATTACCGCTTTTTTTTAAAGAATTTTCCCACCCTTTTGGATTACCATCAAAATTGTTAAAATTAATAGCAATAACTACCATAAAAATTCCATTTACATTTTAAGAAATCATTTATATAATGAATTCGTTTGCTCTTTTTCATATTCAAATTTGTATTGTATCCTTTGATTCACAGCAACCCAGAATGTTGGCAAGGATACACATGTTGTTAAGAATATAAGAAAGGTCGCTATTGTTTTTTAGCTACGTAGACTGCCAGACGTGGGCCAAAACAGTTACAGTCCAAAAACGATCTCGAGGATCGTTCAGTATTCAGTTGTATCGGTTTTTTATTTTGCACGGTGTAACAAGGACGTCAAAAAATGCTTGGTAGAGGGAACCAAAGTAACAATTTTTCCTAAAATCAAAAATGTCTCGAAGTTTGCATCTCTCCTTTAATTTTTTTCTCAGAAACCATTCCACATGGCGTAAAAAAACTAAATGTGGCATCTGAAGGTTTTCAACATGAAAATAGTGAATCAAGTCAGTTTCCGAAAATTCGGAGAAATATCTCACTGCACTCTACACTAAATAGACATCATATTTTTTTAACTTCTTCCCTTTGTTCCATTTTTTTCATCCTCCCCCCTTGCCCAGTAGTTCTTTCCTGCTTTCTAGCTACATTCCCATATCAAATGGTCAATATTTTCCTCTTGCTCTCCACATAATCTGCATTTTCTAGTTTCTTCTTTCCACCTCTCCTTTTCTCTATCTTCCGCATCTTTTATTCCAATTTTTAAGGATGCGAAAACAATATTTGAATATCTCAAGAGGAAAGGATCAATAATCGTGACATAAACAAAAATTTTTCATGTTTGACGACGACTTTGCTCTGATTAGGAACCGATTCAAATCCTAAACGTAAAGTGCGAAGTGTGTGCGTGTGACTGATTAAAAAAGAGAATTATTCTCTTTTTACCGCAACCCACGAAAGGGAAGTGCTTACTTTTCCGTCCGTCTGACCGTCTGTCTGTCGTTCCACGCTATAGCTCACTCCCTATACCTCGTATCGACTTCGGATTTTCAAAGTTTATGTGTTCTAGATGTGCAACAATCAAAAATTAACTTTGGCATCTTGGCATCCATCACGTTTTTGCCCAAACGCAGTCAAAATCGTTATTTATGCATCCATTTTGTTTGGAATATGTATTGATTAAACTCTATTCCCTGATGCCCAATTTCTATTTTTCTAATTTGCATTTTATTTTGTTTCAGAAACTGCCAAAGCGCCCTCGAAGGAGATCGTTTTTGTTTATGTATTTAATGCCATGGTAAGTACTTGTCAAAATTTAAAAAAATTCAAATAGATGCACGGTGCGTCGTTTTCGTTATACAGGGTGACAAAGAAAGTGTAACACTCTGTATCCCGCGAAGAACTATTTCAATTATCAATTGATATATAAAATTATCCAAAATATAAGAAACGCAAAATACGAGAAAAAAGGTTTGTCTTTCCAATTCTGAGACTTTTGTGTTTTTTGTCTCAACATAAGTGATTTAACATTCGCTTTAACAAGTACGAGGAAGGTAAAACGGATACCACGTAAATTCAAAGTTCGCAAATTCGCAAATAAATTCATTTCAAGTCTACTTATGGACAACCTTCGCGTTCCAACCAATAAAGCTAGGTAAATGTTTGAATATTGAAGGAAATTAGCGTTCAAAGAAACGGTTTGCCTATAGTATCGTTAAGGGTGTAGGTATCTATTGATTTTAGAGATGATCAGAATTTAATTCTCCATCGACCTATCACTTATACATACACAATTAAACCAACAAATTTGAATTACACATTAATCCTAATCTACATAGTTAAATAGCAGAAATTGTCAATTCGCCTAATGATATTTACGGAGTTCGCAAACTAAATTTTAAATTAATTATTAATGTATGTGGTGTAATAGAGTTATGCCACCCTTATGGCAAACATCTGAAAGTTTTTGGATTAGGATCTGTGCCGATTATTAATTTAATCCCAAAGCATAATACACTATACAATCTTGGAAACCGGACCAACCTTTTGGGACAAATCAATTTTCCACTATGGCCTAAATCTAGTTTTACTTTCAGAACCGGAACGGTAAACGGAATTAAAGGGCCGATCTAGTTAATTACGTTGACAATATTCGCGCGCACGCCTAGTCTAAACAAATAAGCTCATAATCAAAAAATCATATTTGCAGCCTCTTAACGTAAAGTAAAGAGTTTTAATCCCGCGCTTTTTATTAAACGGGAAATATCTCCAAGAGCGTAAAATTTCGATTTATACGAACGAAAAGGTTTAATATGGAGGATCGGAGAGTTAATAACATCCTGTTCTATGTCAAAACTTTTAGATTGAAAATTGCACTGTTTGTCTTAGTTGGAAACTTTTGAATTTATTGGGTACAAATAAGTATCTAAAAGAAGTTCCTCTATTAAATTTATGTTGATTTGTGATCCTAAACGGACTTAAACAGATTATTTGTCTTTGAAACTCTCCACGGAATAGATTGATTAAATCACCATTAAAGTGCGTCCGTAGAAAGAGCGTAATGTTTAGTAGTGTTGCCTAATTGAATTGCTAGGGAACAATAGCGATTTTTTTTGTTTCGTTTCTGCACTATGTTCTATTTTGGGGCAATTTGATTATACAAATTTTCCCAATGGGAGTAACGTGCAGGTGTTTATTCTCAGCTTTGCGTTCCCCCGTTTCCACTTTCGTTTAGTAAAAAGTTGAGTTAGAGAATTTGTGTTAACTATATTATACTTTCCTTACACTACGTAAATGGATTAGTTAATGTCCTTTTTAGAGAATTGAAAAGAATTTTACCGATAAATTCCTCTCCCCCACCCCCCACGCACTATATTTCTCTATATCATAGGGATGGTATCTTGATTGAGAGACTGGGACTTCGAGTGAAGGAAACTGTAAGCCAATATCTTTGAAACTAGAGGAGTGGATTAATTTTCAACCTCTTGTAGCCACCACCTGTGAGATGAAAACGTAGCATTTGTCAGTATACGCGTCGATTATTGTATATGAATTCCCCCTCCCCTTAAATAGAACCAGCTAAATTCGCATCCGACATATTCGCCGTTAGGAATAATAATTTCTACGTGGTATTCATTTGAGAGGCATTCTTTCCCTGAATGTTGGTACTCCAATGATAGTCACTAACTCACGCCAGAAAAAGCTTACGAAAACTGGCCCGGGAAATTTTTGCCTCTGCGACTGGGAAAAATCCCAGGAAAAATTCACGTAAAAAACGATTCGCCATTGGAATTACGATTTTGAACTCAATTTAATGGTCGAGTTTGATTTAAAGGTACTTGTTCAAGTCTCAACGCAACACCTATGCGTATAATGTGTGGAACCAACAGTTTGACCAATGTTCACCAGATGCCCGTTTCGATATTATAATTTTTTTTCTAAAATTTATACAGCGAAATGGGCCCGCCAAACAATTTTGATCTCAAGAAATTGGTATCAAGTAATCTTTGAATATGAAAGTCACTACCAGCAGTAATAATGGGGCACTCTGTGTACTACAATTTCAATTTTTAAATGCAAATCTGGTGAGTTATTTACGAATAAACACAAAATTCGTTTATTTTACTTGAATTTGTACCTTATTGTTTGGTTTGTCTTTTAGAAATGTTTGTAAATGCGTAATTTTTGTTTAAATTTTATCGCTTTGTAATTGTTCAATAAGGTGTTCGAAGTAAGACAGATGCGGTGAAATTTGGGTGTTTTATAAAAGGTTTTATTTGGTCGTTGCGATAATGAGTTTTATTGTCAGGCGAAATTTAATTCACGCACGTGTTTTTTCACTGTTACCGAACGCCTGCGTGAGGGGTATCTGTAAAAACATGCTCTAAATGCCTATCTTTTTTCAACGTTTTGTTTAGTTTTGTTTCTCATGTTTTGCGGAATAAATTCTTGTGTGTGTGTCATTTAAACTGTTTAATCAAACCCAAAGTGCGACCCAGATAAGTTTTCATGTCAGATTTTTCTATTCGTGCTCAAGAATTATGCCAGAGGGGTTAATGAGAATTTGTGTAGTTAATTCTTTGGTATTTTCGGAAGTTGATCGAGGCTACTGAGTCTCAAGATTACGTTGAGATTTTCCATTATGAGAGGAGCCGGACGTCTACGGAAAATAATTTCAATTCTAAATTTAAAGGTTGTTTTGATTGGGCTACCTGGCCGGCTGTTTTGTGAGTGTCTTAGTGACCGTTTGCTATTGCACATAGCAAAAAAAACGCATGCCCATAGTAATAAATGCGACAAGAACGTTACCTTCTTCAACAAAGTCAAGAGTAAAATCATTACAATGGTTAATTATAATGTTATAATGGAACGGGCCACCCTGTTTGTGCGAATGTTTTCATTTAATCTTAATCTGGAGGATTTTTTTTTACAAAAAACAGCATTGGTTTATTTCATCCGAATTTGTCATTTTAGTGTCTATTTTACCATTTTAGAGTTGTTTTTAAGGGTTTAATGTCTTGCTTAAATTTTATGATTCAGTAAGTTTGTTTATTTGAATTGTAAGATGTAATCGAATGCATATTTTATGTTGTACAGCAAATTTATTGCTCTTTTCAAATATCTTAAAAATCATAGTCATTGTATTTGAAAGAAAGTTCCATCCATTTCCGATTTAAGCGGGAAGTTTCAATATGCGATTGGATAGATCGTAAATAGACTATGTCCAAGATAAGGATGCTATCACGGAGATGTCAGAAACCATACAACATGCGACGACGGTCACATGAAAGCACAGATGCACTTTTTGAGCTCTACGAGACACCGTTGAGAGATTTCGTTTCGGAGAAATCATCATCAACTTTAGTTTTTTATGTGACCTGCAAAAATATTACATACTGTATTAAGTAGCATTTGTTTTTAGGAATACAACGATGTACCACACAAAAAAAACAAAAAGTTGGCAACTCTGTTGGTTTCAGCAGGATGGTGCTTCTGCGCACAACGCCCTAATCGTTCGAAATCGTATCTCGGATTGCCATTGAGATATTGAGGTAGCCCTCTTATCTCGAACGCACTGTATCATACGTGATTTAAGCCCAAATTGAAGAGTTTTTGAATTAGTACTTAAGTCTTTTACAAAATAAATTGCCAATCGAGATAAGATTCATTATTTTTAGGGTCTGCTTAACTGAAGCATAGACCTTATCTAACATGTAAAATCTGTCAAAAAATTGATACAAAGTGTTCCGAAATTCATACCACATTTCGCAAATTTGAAAATGCCATAATTTTATTTTTTTAAATGGTAAAGGGTAGTTTACTTACCTATATCTAAAATGAACAGTTTTTGTAGAGAATGAATCGAAACAAAAATTTTGTGCAACTACGATTAGGTATTCATTTGTTGGCTTTGAATTAGTAGGACAATCACAACAAATGCTATTCTGTCATAAAATCGAACAGGTGAAAAAGCTAGTTTTCGCTACTACCCTAATTTTCAATACAGGGCAAAAAGGGGGGTTTTAATTAAAAAAACAAATTTAGTGCAAAATGCGTGAATTAAAAAAAATAAACATTAGCGAATTTGTACTCAACTTCCGGTATACAATTCAAAAAATTTGCCTAAAATGGGCTGAAACGGTACCAAGACCTACTCAACTTTCGATAGGCAGCCAATATTTGCTGTGTGCTATGGTCGCCATGCCATCCACAAAACATCTAGTTAAAAACAAAACAACTTTACATTTGGAATTGTAATTATTTTGCTTGTAGACGTCCGGCTTCTGTCACAATAAAAAATCTTGTCCGAGTCGCACAAGGGATTCGAATAAACACACAATTAATTGATTGAAAATGACATAACAAAATTATGCCGAAACACATACGCGATAAAAAAAGCTTACAAAGCTTGTTTGGACATATATTACCCCGCACTCAGGCAGTCGACAATTAAAATAAGAAATTTTTAATTACTGGCTTTATCAATAAGATAACAAATTATAGCGGTTCGGACGGTAGAAGCTTTAACTTTTTTACAACTGCTCGCTTTTTCAACTCCTCGACGAAACTCTTTCCGAAATCATATAACACGCGGTAAGCTTCTTACACCACTTTAATTGATTTGCTTCTGCATACTTTATTTCGATACCGACGAAGTACGTTTTCACATAAACAGGCCGACTGCCCCGGGTAAACGTACGCGCTCTTCAACCGTCGCGAAACTCGCAGTAGCCTGGTTTTCTCGTTGTGTCCAGTATTTAATGAAACAGCACTTCCACATTAAAATAAACCCCTTTA